AATTGTTTCTTTTGCTACATCAGCTTTGTTGCTTCCTATTATAAATGTTTTCATAACTATTGAGTCTACTGTATATCCTTCATGCATTCTTTTCCCTGGTTTGCCTATACCTAATCAGGGGTAAAGAGAAGCAGATAGTGATGTCCAAGATCTTGTCATGTGTTTCTCTGGGCTTGAAGAGAAGGTTCTTGAACAATATACTTTGCAAGGTAATGAGAAAACATATCTACTCCCCCATTGTCCTGTAAGGGTTTTCTTTTTTTTCTTTCTTTTTATTTTTTCTTTCTTTTTTAGTTGGGTGATATCCTCAATAAATATTTTCTTACATATCTATTGAACTACATTCTTTTTCTAGAACGTTCAAATTTAGATCAATTATTCGTCCAGGATCCTTAAAAACCTGGACATTCCTTGTTAGAAAAAACCGTGCTCAGTTTTCTTGCTTTCAGTGTTGAACTTTTTTCCTTGTATTTTTTTAGGCCAAACTTGATCAGATCTGCTGCTATCAATTATCTGTTGAATTCTGGCATTCAGTGGGGAGCAGCACCTGCAGTTAAAGTGAGTTGCTAGTGATGATAAGGGTTATTATAAGTGTGACAGCTCTCATTATTTTTTTGCTCCAAAACGTTTACCTCTTTTTCTGGATTTTTTTTTTAATCTATGGTACCATTTCAGGGTGTGCGTGATGCAGCAGTGGAGTTGCTGCACACATTAGTAGCTGTGCATGCGGAGGTAATAATTGCATGCTCTTGGAATATTTTCTTGTGGTAACAAAGAAACCAGTAGAGGAAATATTATGAATGGCTTCTGATCTCGCTGCATTTATAGTTGTACTGTACTCAGTTGGCCATCAAAGTATTAATGTCGCAGGATAAATTAGGACAAGGAAAAAATTATTAAAAAAAAATACAAGCATTCTGCCATAACCCGAAGTCACCAAAGCACACTAACTAAATTTTTGCACTTGCTCCAGTGAATAACTTGGTCTTCTTCTGAAAAGAAAAAGACTTCCACTTAGAGCATAGCCAATTTCCTTTAAAAAAAAAAACGAGGGAGAGAGAAGAAGAAAAGGAAAATAAAATAAAGGCCTCCTCAAATATAATTAGTTACTGGCGAAGTCAAGTGTGTGTTTTCTTAAAAGAAGGGTGGGGGGGGGGGGATAATGTGTCTATTTTTGAATGAGATCGTCACTGATACATTTGACCTTTTAAACATATGCTCCACTCGATCTGGGGCTATTAAAAGTATAAATGGGCTTGAGGAACTTTGCTGAATGTTAATCTTACCCTTTTTATATGTTGTTGACCTAATGTCAATGGTAATATATCTTCTAACTTTAAACCAGTCTCCGATGATGGTCTTGAGAGTATGCACGTCTATAACTGTTATACAATAGTTCCTAAGTTGGTGTGTGAATATTTGTAGTCCCAAGCAGCCTTTAGAAAACATAGTATGTGAACTTATGTCAAAAGGATATTTTATTCAATACTAATGGAGGCAAATAGTTACTTTATTAATTAAATTGTCTTAAAGTAATCTGCTGAGATAAAGTGTGCCTTGCCATAGGTTTTTGCTGGTGCCAAGCCCCTCTTAGATAAGACATTGGGCATTCTTGTGGAAGGCCTGATTGACACTCTAATACGCATTTTCCATGAAAATGAAGCTACAGATCTTAGACTTGATACGAATGGATTCTGTCAGCTGATGTTGGAGGTATGTTTCATGCAATTTTATTTATTTCTTTAACCATGCACTATAATCATAGCGCACAATTTGAACTATGATTATCTTGGTTTTCTTCCAATCTGAGATGCAAATAGTAGCAGATGGTTGATTTAGATTATTGTTATATCAATGGTTATGCTTGCTACAATGACTGAAGCAGGAGAAAATCAAACGAGATTTGCATTTCCATCCCTTTCTTCCTTTCCACTGTTCTTGCCAGGCCGTACATTTGACATGTGAAAATTCATCCATTCCTCTATCCATTTTTATCTTCAGTTTCTAAATATGTCTGCCATGAGTGCTAATCTTCAAAAATTTTGTCCGCCCAACATTGATGCTTTCCACACAACATAAAGAACAGAAAAGCTGTTTCGCACCTTTGATTGTTGGGAAATAAGAATGGATTGCATAGTAAAAGGATTTGCATCTTCATGATGGAGGTTTTATGCTCTTTTTTTGCCTTTATGTTTTTTCCCTCCTTTCCGTATATCAGAAGGGTTTGAATTCTAGACCACTATCTATATCTCACCTTAGATATCATGACTCTACTCAATGCTGAGTTCTGATGGTTCTTCAACTGGCTTTCATGTCTGCAGCTTGAATACTTTGAGACTATATTAAAACCCATATTTTACATCCGGTGCAAGAGAGTCCTTGAAATCTTTACAAGGTTTGCTTTTGGAGAAAGCAACGGAAAGCGTGGCTGATATTGTGGACAATCCTGGACATAATCGTCGGCCGACTCGTGGCAGTGAAGATGCAGCTGGAGATGAGAGACTGCAAGGAGCAACTGTATCACCGGATGAACTCATTGTAAGCAACTTCTTAATGCAGTTGGCTTTGTTTCGCTACGAATCCTTGATTTTTGCTGGATTTGATCAGCTATATAAAGATGGCGTTTTATTTCATTGGCTAAATTGCACCTTTAATCATTTAACTTTATACAAGGTTTTATTTTGGTTCCTTAATTTTATAAAATATTTTTCAGTGTTTTAACCTTAACACCATTTAATTTCATTAAAAAAAATCTAAATTGAATTTTTAAATATTGACAAAACATTATCAAATGTTGATATATTAAGTTTAATTTTCTAAAATAACAATAATTGACACAAAAAGTAATTATTTGAAATTAATGATATTAGGGTTAAATTTTCTAAAAGAATCATGATTGATACAAAAGTAATTATTTGAAACTGATGGTAGTAAAGTTAAATAACAAAAAATACTTTATAAAATTAAGGGAGTGTAAACTGAAACTTTCTATAAAGTTGAAGGACTAAATTATACTTTAGCCTATTTCATTTTATAGGTATGGGGTTTATTCTAATTTTGGCTTCACTATGCCAATAAGTTATTTTCATGCTCGAAAGGTGGCTCAAGTACAAGGCCCCCATTTACTGTCTTAGGAATGAAGTTCTCAGTTTTATGCCATTGTATTATTACTCAATGATTTACGTTTTTTCTTATTATTTTAGTATGTATATAAAAGTCTTATATTCCTCCATGAAAATGGCTTATTCATTTTATTTTATTTTTTGGTAGATTATTCATTTTATTTTACTCCATGTATCAGTATCAACCGAGCCGTTAAAATTGTGCATTGTGTGGAATTCAGGCTCTTGCACAGCAGTATAGCTCTGAGTTGCTTCAATCAGAGCTGGAGCGGACTCGTATTAACACGGCATGCTTTGTGGAATCAATGCCTTTGGGTTCGGTGCCAGAACCCGCAAAAGCTGCTTACTCTACCTTCAAGGGATCAATGGATTCTCCTAGTAGAAATTACAGAGGCACCAGTCACACTGGATCCCCCCAAGTTCTTTCGGAGACAACGATGAATATTTTAGCAACCATTGCCTTTGTTTTCCTGCTATGTGTTGTTGTAATTTTGTTTATATAGTTAATAATGGAACATTGAACTCTTCTGCTTTGCTGTCATTTTTTATTTTTATTGGTGTTTTTGGTTGGAATGGGAGTTTTCGATAATTTGAGTTTTGGGCCCAATATTGTATTCTGTATAAAAGTTTTTCCCCAGCTAAGGTTGATTTCTTTTTAGTTCTTCTTAGGACCCATGTTCTTATTTTTTTCACTTGGAATAATTTCAAGAATGGTGAAAACTTTTGGTCTCTAAGTTTAATCTTTTATTAAAGTTTCATGCAGTCAGTTATCATGTTACTTCTAATGGTGCTATTTTTTCTTCAAACCATGAGAATGAATTGTGTATGTTTATGAAATTTTAGAGATTTGATTGATAAAAATTTAACTTGAACTAAATTAATAATTAAGACAAATTTTATGGACTTGGCTAAGATTTTTTTTATGATATATCTCTTTAATTTTAGATATTGAATTCTAATTTTTTAGTAAAGTATAATTATATTTGCAATCAATGAAGAGCTGCACAAAACATGCGCATGATTGTGTTATGACTCATGATTTACTCAATCTTTGGATTAGTTAGTCAAGCATGGTTGGGTATTTTGGTGGTTCAAGTACTGTTGGATGTGTCCCTACTCTTCAGCTTTCATTTAAACTGCTCCTTTTCAGCTCCTTTCCCCAATTCTCTCACTTCTAGTTTAGCTTGGCTTTTATTTGTGCTTGGCTTTTGTCAGTCTCTTTGTTCTTCCTTTGTGTGTTTGTAGCTTGATGTGGCTTTATCCTCCTCGTGGCTTTATGTCCTCGTCTTCCGTCACATTCACCACGTCCTCTTAGTCCAGATGTAGGTTTCTGGATTTTGCGATGCTTTCTTGCTAATTGTCGTTTGCCTATTTGGGTTTCATCGTTTTTGGGGTTCGTATCAAATTCAGGCAATCAATGCAAACGGTTATCTCCCATATCACACTGCGGGAATTTGTTGGGAGCTCCATCATATCTTTAAACAGATGGCTGTTATTATATTAGATATTGAAATGGTAACAACAATATAATTTTATTCAATTATAACAGGTAGTAATGTCCTTGAGCAATTAGTAATGAAACTAACAATATATAGTATCCACGTTGATTAGTGCAATATAGTAATGAAACTAACAATGTATAGTATCCACGTTGATTAGTGCAATATAGTAATGAAACTAACAATGTATATTATCCACGTTGATTAGTGCGTCATATTTACGATACTGCATTAGAAACAAGGCTCCAAAACAGCATGGCCATGCAGTTTTCCCCTTCTCAGATGGTGGCATCAAAATCTCCACAAAAAATGTCAAATTGAAAGGAGTGTATATATCATTGTTGTAAACCTAGGCTGTCCCAGTCTAGTTGACTCAAATTAATCACCTAGCTGATTCAGTTGATTGAAAAATCGGTCATCTTTGACCCAATATCAATCCAATCAAACCAACCAACCTAATAGGTTAATGGGTTGATTTAAGTCAGATTTTATTATTTTATTTTTCTTTGTTTTTTCCTTTCTTCTTCTGAATATTCAACCCTAAATCAAATATAAATTTTTAATTAATAATTTAATGCTATTGTGTTCTATTATTGTCAAAAACTTATAACTATTGTTTCTATAAGAAATATATAAGATTTATGGATAAATTTTTTATTTACTCAAGAATTAAAGACTTTTATTTAAATATTACTGTCTTTTATATGAATATTTTTATATATTTAATTATATTATATTATTTTAACCGTGACCGGGTTTGACCCTTGGTTAGAACACTAACCCTTAAATTACTACGTCGATTGATTTAATAATCAGTCTAATTTTCAGTAGCTTAGTATATATTGTTTAAATGTATATATTCATTATCTTTTTATTAGCAGAACTCATATCAACTCAACGAATTTTAAGAAAAAACTTGCTTTGAACTAAAAATGCAAGATATGAGGGGGCTCTTGAGCGATGAGGGAGGAAAAGTATATGCCATGAACGACTTGAGGTTCCAACTGGGCTCAACTCGATTGGATATTTGGCAAGCCCTTGATTTTTGTCTCGAGTCAATATGGAAACAATTTTCACAGCTTTAAAGTGTACTTACAAATATAATAGGACATGCACGTTACTTAATAAATATATTAGGACATGCATGTTATACTTACCAATAAAATCCTTATAACAATAATAGAAAAATTCAATCACATGCTATTACAAAGTAACTAAAGCTAGAAGTTGCAACCAATAAGCTAGTTCGGTTAATAAGGATTTGACTCATAACTCACAAAGTTGTAAAGTTAAATTTCATCGTTGATGTGAGGACTTTGGTGGGCAATTTGTGAATACTTATGCAAGTGCTATTTAAGCCCAGGGCATGCATTGACCCTAGTAAGCTCCCACCTTTTCTTGAGGATCTTGGCAAATGATCTATAAATACTCTTCAAATTTGGGGATATGCCTTGTCTGTGGTGAGCTTCGTACCCCTTCCGTTCCTTGTTTTCCTCCTTGTTTCGTTCACTACTAAATTCCCTTTTTCCGCAATCGGCGCCAACAGAAAAAGAATGGAAGACATGAGAAGTTGAAGTTGAGAACCAAATAATGGACGCGCCATCATCTCCCACCAAACTGTTCCCTCCTCACCTCCCTCTTTCATTCTCTTCCTCTTTCCCAGTCACTCTCAAGGTACGTATCTCCACTTCTTTCCTAACCAAATTTTGAACACTACTACAGATTTTAAATATTTAATACATACATACATACATACATACATACATATATATATATATATATCTAACAGTTATGAGAAAATCTGTTGAATAAGGGAATGCAGAAAATGAGCAAAAGAATATTTGACTGTTAGATTAAAAACCATCAAATATAAAATACATATATTTAACGATTACCATCAAAACCTATAATATTTAAATTATTTATTTTTCAAAAGCTTCATTTTGTAAGTTTGACAATTTTAGGCTGAACCATCAAATATAGTGAAACAATATTTGACAATTATAGTGTAAAACCATCAAACTTATATAATTTTAAATTAGATCTCATTCTAGCTCGTTGCACTACTTCTGATAGCTGAATGAGATAATACCCAAAATGACTCTCCTAAAATTTCTTCTGCATCCAATATCTCTACAATTTTGTCTCCTCTAGAGGCATTGATCTTTAGATATCTCATTGTTCCTCGTGCTGAGCTTGTTCGAGCACAAAATCATCTCCCGAATTAGAGCTTTCCTAAGTGATTGAGCTGCTGCCTTGTGAAGGATCAAAGGTTGGTTGCTTTCTCAAAGGTGTTCCATTATTTTAGCTTGGTGGAATCCGTTTGAGCACGTTGACTTTGTTTTGTTCTACATTGATCGAAGAAGTTCCCAAATGTGTTCAAGTTGTTGATTCTCGCTTTTTGTTCAAGGTTGAGGTTCGAATTAATGATTGTGGTAACTATGGTTTATGATTGATTCTTATACTAGATTGCTTGCTTTGCATAGATCATTGTCTTCAATAGCTTAGTGCTCAATAGAAGCACATTCATATTATTTGCTCTTGGTTCCATGGATACACACAAGGTGCTCAATAGAATGTCTCTAAAAAATTGAAAATTACTTGAGCATGTGTTCCTGTTTGTTGCTGCCATTGTGGTGACCATAAAGTCATGAACTTAAATGATGTGGGAGGAGCTTAGATGATGCTTTACTTTTCTTTGTTTTGCCTTGCATTCACATTATAAATTCCATTATTTTTTTCCTCATGAAAAGTATGTCAAAAGCTTACCTTCACAAGAAAGGCTTTTAAGGGATCATGCTTTGTTTAATAATGAAAGGCTGGATTATTTTGTAGAGACCTTTTTTGGGTTTAATAGCAATAAGAGACTTAGAGATATAATATGCTTGGCACACAATTAAATCAACCCAAGAACAAACTGATACATGAGAACTTTGAGCCCATTCAGACGTGCTGTCTACTTATCAATGCCTCTTAAGCCCATTTCTATTTCATTTTTAATAATTTTATGTGGACCCTTTCATTTGATATGATGAATATTTAGATTCAAACACATTTTCCAAGCCTAAATATGATGGAAAAATGCATGCTTATGCACATGACACTACTTGTTTAGTGGTTGTTTGTCTTAACCATCAAACAAAAGAACAAAAATAGTTGACATTTATTTCTCTAATTGACATTATAGAAATTGAGTGTTACTGTTAAATTAAGTTTGATTAAACTATACAAGGATTGAATTTAATATAAGAGAGGGTAAAATGTCCAAGCAACTTTTAATTATAAGTTGTTATGCTACTGAAATTTTGTTAGATAGTAACAAAATTTGTGGCTTTATTACTTATGTTTCATATGTTTGAAATTATGTTTTTGTGAACTTGGTTGTTATCCTAATTAAGTAGGATTGAATTAGAATATAGTAATAAAACTTCATGATTTTATTACTTATTAGTAGTCAAATTTTTACTGAAACTAAGTTCTTGAATTTAGTTTAAGTATTTATAGTCAATAAAGTTTAAAGAAGAATTATATATAAAAGCATGTGACTCATGATTGAAGTTTGATGAAGACCCAATATTAGTAAGTCACTAATCATATTTTTTTCTCAAAATGATTCTTTCTAAATTTGGAAGATGGACAAGGAATGGATACCTTCCAATCGATTAATGAAGGAATACTTAAATAGGGTGAAAGAGTTTATTAAGTTTACACTTGAGTACACAAACAATCATACTAGTATTGTGTGTTCTTGTGTAAAATGTTGTCTGATGAAATGGATTTATGTGTCTGAATTGAAAGATCATTTAATGTGTTATGAAATTGATCAGAGTTATAAATGTTGGTGCAAGCATGAAGAGGTAAAGGATGCAATTGGGGGTGTGGCAAGAGCCGCATGTGATATGATTTTGATACAAGTACATATAAGGTTGATGAGGAAGACTACCTTGAAGAGATGACCAAGCAACAATTGAATAGAAACTAAAGGATTGTCCTAAAATACTTGAAAGGTTAAAAAAGTAATGCAAAAAAGCCTTTGTATAGTGGTTATACTGATCTCACATTGTTGTTAGGAGTGTTGAGTTTGTACAACTTGAAAGCGAGCAGTGGATGGAGTGATAAGAGCTTTAGGGAATTGCTTACACTTCTTAAAGTGGACCTACCTA